CACTGTTTGGAGACTTTGCCAGCGAGAAGATCAACAAAGAAACCACTCCGCTTTTGTACCACCTCACTGGAGCCAACAGAGAGACGCTGGGTTTGTACAGGCCTAGAAAAGACAACCAGGTCAGTGTATTGGGCAAAGATGGTTTCAATGCAGCTCAAGATGACGCCTCGGAGAGCTGTGGTGGTGCAACACCCCTGGCTGAGACCTCCCGGGAGGAGATAGTGGAGGTTTCCCACCCTTGCAACACACTGGACAACTCCTTCAAGAAGTACTACAAAGAGAAACTGAAGGACGCCCAATCTAAGGTCCTTAGGGAGACCTCTTTTAAGAGGAAAGACCTGCAGCTGTCCTGGCCCCACAGGCTGAAGCCAAGGTCTGGGCCCAGGCCAACTGTACTTCACACAGTCACCTCTTCACAAGACTCTGAGAACTCTACAGACACACTCGTCCCCTCCCCTGCGCCCTCTGAGGACACATGTGGGGATGATTTTCAACAAAGAGTGGAGGCAATCGAGATGGAGACGGAGGGTAAACTGGTGAAGGAAAGTCAGACGAGAAGTGAGAGGCCATTGAATGTTGCCCAGCCTCAGGTGGCTCGTATTGGGGGCAGGAGACGTTTCACTCCAGCGCAGAAGAAGCTGTGCTATTCTGAACCAGAGAAGCTGAACCAGCTGGGTCAAACGCCCTACGACCACGCAGTCTGCCTTTCTCTCGACATGGATAGAGCCTCAAGCAAGGACGAGGAGTTGGGAGAGCAGGGCCTGGTGGCAGCGAGGAGGAAGATGTTTGAGACGAGAGGCAGGGCCATGTCCACTTCCAGCCTCTCCAAGACCTCCCTGAAGCACCTCCAGCACAAGGCCCTGGTGGCATATATGGAGCGCAAGATGGGCCACAAGGTGGCTGAGCTCCAGCAGCCCAACCCTCCTGCACCTCCTCTTGCTCCTCCAGCCTCTCAGTCTCCCAGCCTGAGACAGTCGACATCAGAGAGGACCTCTGACTCGGGTCCAAGGCATCAGTCTAGGAATAAAGGCCCCAAGATGAAGCTGCACAGGCCCCATTCAGCTGGCCGCATCCTGGACTCAACCTCGAGCTCCATCAGGTACGCTCAGTTCAGCAATGGCTTCAGTCCGGCCGAAGGTCATTCTCAGCAGGCTGCGTGGCGAGAGTCACCCTGCCCCTCGCACGGGAAGTCTGCCTCTGTGGAGAGTCTTCTGGACCAGCCAGTGTTTTCCAGAAACCGCTCCACTTCAACACCACAAGCATTTCAGGTCAGCTCATCACAAGAAATTATCACTTTAAAAATGTATTTAATAAAACGTGTAAAGTGTTGAATTGAATAGAAGCCTATGGCATTTTAGTGAGTGTACCAGTCTATGAATGTTTATTCTTTTGTTTGGCTACAGGATCATAACTACACAAATGATCCATCCCCAGTTAACACTATGGACAATTCCAGGTATGTTGCCCTCATTTTTGGTGGCACCTGCACCTTTAAGATTTACTGTAAACTTGGGGTCGGCAATAGGTAACAATTAATGTACAGGTCAAAAGTTTAGACACGTACTTATTCAAGGGTATTGATTGATTTTTTTCTATTACCTACATTGGCAAATAACGGTGAAGGCATCAAAAGTATGAAATAAAAATGCATTAAACAAATCAAGATACATTGTACACTATTATACTACAATAGGGAAAATAGTAAAAATAAAAAATCCCCTTAAATGAGGAGGCGTGTGCAAACATTTGATTTGGTATGTTAGACGTTTTGGTTGTTTCGCAACAAATGTGTTATATTGATCTGTACATTTGATTTGTTGTACCACTATACATATTTCAGCTTGATCTGATCTACTAACTAGGCCAAATCGCATACTGTACACTGAGGGGGCCAAATGATTATGAACACTGACAGGTGAAGCAAATAATGTTTATCATCTCCTCAGTTCAGTGTCCTTGTGTCGATCTGCATGATTGATTGCTTCTGTGGACAGGTGTCTTTTATACAGGTAGCAAGCTGACATTTGGGGCATTTGGAAATGCAAATCGATTTATAACTTGTTTGAAATGCGTTATTCTGGATTTTTTGTAGTTCGTCTGTCTATCACTGTTCAAATAAGCCTACCATTAGAATTCGAGACTCTTTGTTTCTGGCCATTTTGCGCCTGTAATCGAACCCGCAAACGCCGATGTCTCAGTTTTATTGCTTCGTTAATTAGCATGATAGCTAACATTACTGCAAAGTGGTTTTCTAATGGCCTTTCCAAAACGATAAACTTGAAGTAGCAAACACAATGTGCCACTGGAACACAGGGGTGATGGTTGCTGATAGGCTTCTGTACATCTAAGGGAAGGATGAGAGGGACCAGGCACATACTTATGTTCTGCGTTATTTTTCAGTTGTCATACTCCGAGGCCAGCGGATGAGGATGTGGATGTACGGGGAGGTCAAGCAGGGTCAGACTGTGAGGATCAACAGCCCCGGGGGGCAGCCCAGTGGGGAAAATCCCTGGAGGAGCTGGGTGTGTCCCAGGACAGCCAACAGCCAGTGCTCTCTAAAAACTCCAAGAAGAAGCCTCTGTTTAAACGGGACTCTGCGCCAGAGTTGGGCTGTAATGAAGACAGTGGGAGGACGACTGAAAGCACCGCAGAGCCCAGCGTCCGCGTTTCGGTCTACCCAGAAACAGGCACCTTGTCCTGGGTCAGGGAACCCTCAGATGGTTCCCCTAAACCATATGACTTTGGCCCTCTTGTTCAAGACGAGATGAAAACCCTCCCCTGTGTCGTCGTACCGCACCCTAGTGGTCGGGAGTCCAGTGAGAAAGAGTCTTTCTCAACCTCAACATCTCCGTCTACACCTACTCCTCTCAGCAGTGAGGGCGAGGGCAAAACAGGCTCCAGGTAAGTGACCATAAAATAATAAGTGACCAGCACTCTTCGTAAAACATACTTATCATTAAATCAGTGTTAAGATAGAAATGGCAAAACATTTGCTATTTATTAATGTTAGCATTACTTGGATAACATTTACATTTACGTCATTTAGCAACCTTTCCCATCCATAGCAACTTACAGTAGTGAGTGCAGACATCTAAACTGGCATGCGGGAATCGAACCCACAATCCTGGCTCTGCTAGCGCGGTGCTCTTCCTACGTGAGCTACATGGCATACTGACGTCTCCCTTATTCTAAATCAAGCAGGATGACGACCACCCCACCCATCCGGCACTCTGTGGAGAGAGAGGAGTCTGTGGACGAGCCGACAGAGACCCCCGAGGCCCCTCAAGAAGTGTCTCTGAGCTGTGGAGTCACCACCGACCCCGCAATGTGGGCCCTGCCAAATGACCCGTGGCGTGAAGATGAGAACAAGAGCCCAGGGCTGTCGGATGATCTGGTTGTGGGAGAGACTCCGCTTCCAGACCCAGTTCCAGCAGCTAGTGAGCCCCCGCTAACTTCCAACACCACACCAGCTCTTGATACTGACACCTGCGTGAGTGCAGAAGGCAAGAACCCAGGGGCAGATGAAGACAATACGATCAGGGTCGAGGCCCAGGCAGGTGAGGCGGAGAGTGCAGTAAAAACACTCTCCGCTGAGGAACCACGGTGGGAGGAGCTTGTGGAGGAGGTGGTCACTGCTGATCAATCTCTAGCCCGGGTGCTGTACCCGTTGACCAATCGAAAGACGGCGCTAATGCTGATGGAGCAGCTACTGTCAGAGGACACTCTGCTGATGGAGGAACACTATAAGAAGAAGCTAGAGATGAGAGATGTCAGCGTGATGCTACACACTGCAGACAGGTAACCACCTCAGAGACCCATAATACTGTACAGGTTCTGGTGTCGGTCACATCCTGGATCCACCCCGGTGCCATGTTAACAGCTGCTACAGCACTTCCCAGGTTTAATCTGATCTGTCTGTGTGTGTGTGTGTGTGTGTGTGTGTGTGTGTGTTTGTGAAAAACCTGAAGCACCGAAACTGTTGATGATGCTGAAGCTTCTGCAACCTGTCCTGGTGATACTAAAACCCAACCAGAGCCACTGAGCAAGATGGATGTCACAGAGAAAAAGGTTAATAGTTACTTTTCTTGTAATGGATCTGTTCCAGTGGATGACATCCTGTTATTATCAACGGGATACAGTTGAACTAGGTTAGGCATTATGTAATAATGTTCGACCAGGTCATTGAGGTGCCCACAAGATGAACTGTCAGACTCTCATCCTTACTGGTTTATTGAATCTGGCTGTGAAGAACGATTGATTTCCTGCCCGTCTCATTCGCACACCAGCACGGTAATGTCGCATGATGCTATAATGGCATTTATGAACCGGGTGGCCTAAACCCTGGATGCTTATTGGATGACAGCTATGGTAAATGAGACCGTATAAATCGTGGGTATGCCACGAGATCACACCCTGCTGCTCTAATTGCGACAGTAACTGGTTTATAAGAGCGATTATGCATCACTTGGGGTTTTGGACATACTCTGGGATGCGTGTTGCCTAAGAACAGCTCTTAACCATGTTATATTGGCGATATGCCACACCCACTAATGGCTTATTGGTTATGCACACGGTCTTGTCTTCTTCACCAACAGAGGCTGCTCGTGGCGTGCATTGAAGGGCACCTGCGAGCTCTGGAGGAGCCCCGGGGGGTCCTGCTGACGGAGCTGCAGGAGAACGGGAGGTGCGGCGAGGCCGTGGAGGCCCTGGTCAGGGAGCGCTGTACGCCGGTGGAGCTGGAGCGCTACGCTTTGTTCATCGGCGACCTGGAGCGTGTGGTCAGCCTGCTGCTGTGTCTGTCTGCCCGGCTGGCCCGTGTCCAGAACGCCCTGAGCACCGTGGACCAGCACACAGACGCGGAGGAGAAGGTGTGACACTGTGGTGTTGAGGTCAAATGATTGACCGTCACTGTGCTGCTGGAGAAATGTATTGCGTTAGTTTATGTATTTATTCATTATTTATTTATAGGCCAACGGGATCTGAAATTAACATATGGAGAAGTTGTTGTAGCTCAGTGGTAGAGTGCATTGCTCTGCATGTATGATGTCCTGGGTTCAATCCCCAGTTTATCCCCAGGTCACTGTTGCAAATGTGAATTTGTTTTCGGCCTACCTGGTTAAATAAAAGTTAAAAAATAAATATCCCAGTGTATCCCAGCTGGATATGTCACTTACTGATGTTGACGTGTATAGGTCTTTCTAGTACTTTTTTTTCCTCACAGCTGTTGTTTGTTGCTGTTTTATGGTTTCTCTGAATATTCAGGGTTTTATTTGATATGCTCATGGTTTTGAATTTCACCTTGGCTGTCCTGTGCGTTAAGCATGTGGCTGGTGTTTTCTGCTGGGCTGGTAAATACTGTGAGTCACCGAAACTCAAAACCAGTTTCGGTGCAGATTTCTGCCTGCCACGCCCTCTACTGATTTAAATCAGTATTGCATCACTGTGACACTGCAAAATTAGTCTTATTACCTGACGTTTCCTGAACGGTTGTTAGCAAAATACATTTCCATGAACACGAGTTCAGAAATTGGATAACATTTAAACATTTCTGGAATGTTATGCTTAATTTCGTCTAACCTTTCACAATCCCCTGCCAGGGTTCTCTGGACAACCGTCACAGTTTGCTGTGTAAGCAGAGGGAGGACGCCAAAGACCTGAAAGACAACCTGGACCGACGGGAGCAGATGGTGTCCAACTTTCTGTCTCGCTGCCTGACGGCCGAGCAGCTCCAGGACTACAGACGCTTTGTCCAAACCAAGGCCTCGCTCCTCATCAGGATGAAGGATCTGAATGAGAGGCAGCGTCTCGGGGAAGAGCAGCTTGAATCTCTGCTCAACACCCTTCCTTCATGAAGACCCAGACCAGGCATCCGTCCTATTGGTTCCTTCAGCTGTCCGTCATCTGTTGGGCTTATGGAGCCCTGAATCATGTCTGCTTTGCCTAAACCCTCTAACCCTAACCCGTTCAGCCTGCACAATCACACAATCACAGATGTCTGCAGAAACAGAGTTCCTCAGATATCGCCTGTCCATTTGTGTATATATATATAATATGTGTCCCTTTCAATTTTGAAGTTTGTCGATGGTATACAGTGTGAAATGTCCTGTATACAATGTGAAATGTCCTGTATACTGCGTAAAATGTCCTGTATACAGCATGAGTTATCATGTACACAGCGTGAAATATCATGTATACAGTGTGAAATGTTTTGTATACAGTGTGAAATGTCCTGTATACAGTGTGAAATGTCCTATATACAGCGTTAAATATTCTGTATATCACTAATTAACATTTAAATTTAATGTCCTAACTTTTCCGCTTTGCCTTCGACTTAAGCCTTTGACTATAAGCTTTAAGATTGTACTCTGGCCTGGACTTGGTCTAGATAACCAGTCAAGACTGTATCTGAAGTTATTTGAGATGAACCTGAAAGAGGGTGCTAAATACTGTGTATGTTAGTCAAAATAGCTGGTAGATTAACTCTCCTTATGTTTTAAACTTTTTTCTTGTATCTGAAAAGATGGCACTATTGACAAAACCAAAAATGAAAATAAGCACTTTGACATTTAACTGCACATTTCGTTTTTCTTAGCCTTAATCCATCCAATGTTATTTTATCCTGAACTAATTTGTATAGGAATTTCCCAAATCAAGAGGTTTAACATGGTACATAAGCATATTAAATTATGCAGATTATGTCCAGTGTTAACCATAGATATTTTGGTTTCAGATGATGTCTTCGGTAAACCTCTTAAAATGAAATAAGGAATTTCCATACCAGATTATTTGCTTGAAATGTTTTTTGGATCTAACTATGCTTACTTGAAGTTGTGGAAAATTAAAATTCCAAGATCTTCACTGCAGGTGTTTAACGCCTTTTGCAGGACGTCCTGTACTTCCACCAGATGCTTTATTTGGCCCCTCACAGCACTCTATAAAAAGTGAAATCTGATTTTCTCCAGTATATCTTTTGACTCAACATGGAATTGCACAACAATAAATTACCATTTTAGACCTTATTATGTTCATAAGAACTAATGTTATTACCGGTATGTGATGTTGATTTTTTGTTTTGCCACAATCAATATTTCTGTTTTGCTTTTCAATTGTATTTAATATTTGAAATTGAAAGCACAGGTGTGACAAATTTGCTCAAAAACAATCTAGCAGGGTTAACCTACATCACTTCGATTGACATGTGGGTATTTTAAAAGTTGGTATTTAAGAAGCATTTTACTTTTGAGGCAAACTAGCTATGTCCCTGTTTGTTTTTCCAAACAAATTAATTCACTATGACTATTGTATTATTTCGCTCTTCGTTCATGAGCTTATATACTACCAAAATGGTCATTAATGTGTGGATCTGGGATTTCTTCAGGCATTGATAGGGGCAAACTAAGGAAAACTACATTCAGAGCAAAAATAAACAAAAACCAATACATGTGCTACTAATCAACCCAATGGACTTTAATCATGTGAAATTTACAACAATTGAACAGTCATACAGCATTATGAATGTTAAAAGAACATTCAGATATACAGTGCTCAACTCTCTCACCCTGTAACATTATCTTGGGACTAAAGGCAATGTCCAATTTTAGTTTGGTAAACACGTGTGTTTGTTTTGGCCTTCGCATAGAGGACTGACTCAAAGTGGTACTGCTTCGTCCGTCATGTTTATATGGCCTGTCGGAATTCCTGAGGCATGCAAAAGACTCACAGTAGGGAACAGACAGTAGGGAACAGACAGGCAGAGTTTCACCAACATTCTTGCTTTTAACAGCCTTATGCTATTTCCTGTAAATGCATATAAACATGTATTGTTTGGTACATTGTCAGAAAATGTTCATTCAATGTCCTAAGGGCTCTTAATTAAACAAAAAAAGTGATTGTTTTTTTTAGTGGAGTTATGGTTGTGTAACTGACACTGCTGACAGGAAGTAATAATCACAATAAAGATTTTCAATCAATCCCAAGTGTTGGGATGTCAATACGGGCCTTTGTACCTTTGGCCTTCTTCATGGCTGACTGTCGCCACCCTGCGTTTGTTTTGTTTATCATTTACGTGATGTTTATGCTATTGTGAATAAATTAAACTGTCTGGTCCATCCAACAAACTGTAAGATTCCTCTCTCTGAATAAAAGTATTCTGAAATACATCTGACTTAATCAGATTTCTTGAAACAATTTAAACAGATTCCTGGTGTGAATAGTCAAATCCCTAATATGTTCCATTTCATATGGACCGAGGCTGTGTTGATCTAATTTAGTGGGATTAAATGTGTGTTGATGGGAGGCATCTTCCCATGTCCCAAGGCCTCGTAAACAGCCCTCATGGAATGCTGCCCTGTTGGTTTCTGAACAACAACAAATGCCTATTATGAAGCACTGAATGTTTCGAAAGAAATGCATTTGATGTCATGTCACTCCAGAAACCAAGATGAAGAGATTCCAGATTCCAGCACCAAGTCTCTTCCCACAACGAAGTACTATTTGTCCGACTCCCAAGGTCACCAGAGGTCAAGCTACTGTCCTTATCGGGACATCAAACCAAAAAACTTTCACCGACTATCTGATCGTGGGACTTTATAAGTAACATAAAAGCGAGAGCAAAACGAGTGGGACCGTCATGCTTCTTCATGCTCCAGAAATGGGAACATGTGTGTATTGGTAGAGCGCTCAGTCAGTCAAGCATGTGACTCGGTCATTACTGTCCCTGGCTTGGCTGCGGCAGGAACATTTGCTCCAGCCCTAGGGTAAGAAAGGGCTCGACGCAGAGAAATTCAGCTGTGGGAGACGTGACTTCACGAGAAGCCCAGAGACGCAGCTTGAGTTAGGCCGGTTCACTCGTCATCACTTTAGCCTCAGGGTCCAGGCTGACATTGGCACATACGCGGTCAGCTGAATCACAACCGCACGCTGTCTATATGAGCTAAACAACCAACAAGCAGGGAGACAGTCTGCATAGTATTTGATAGGATCCCTGAGTTTAAAAACAGTTTCCCTAATAAAAACAAAAATAGTAAGTATAAAATCAGTGGCACAAATTAAATTAGATTTGACAGTCATTGAGATTTCATTATACACACCTTTGAAAGAATGTATCACAATACACTGATCATTACACACTTACAATACAGACATCCTACACATATGCTGAGTGACAAGCGACAAACCTGAATGTCGCTTGGAGACTAGGTGAGGTCGCTTCAAAAGAACAGTGTGCTTTCCATTTTAATGGGGTGATCATGTGACTGTTTCTCATCTTTCATTGGCACAATTAGTGTGCTCAGCCTATAAACACCTACAAATATTCCATTAGATGTTACGTGGTACAAAGCATTTTAAACACAATGACTCCAGTAAAGAACAAGAGAAACAAATACCATTAATATTATACAATATTTTCCATAGCGGTGGAAGGTGCTTGAGTTTTCAGGTTTAACTGACAAAAAGGCAAAGCTTTTTACAATGGATGATTTCATTAAAAAAAAACATTCAGCACTGAATAAAACACTGGAGATGTTCCTCTCACGTCCACCCTAATCTCGAAGAACTGTAGATCGTATCTCAAAAGATAAGATTAAATGCCAAATTAAATGTATGGCATTACTGCTCACATCTGACTGATGTCACAAGAATACCTCTGAAATGGGTATGTACTTGTTTGGACTCACACCTCTCTCCCTCGGATCGTCGCTCAGGGAGAGGAAACCAGGCCTCTGCCTGTGCCTCTTCTTTTTCTCCACATGGGGTTGAAACAGACGACTTATAGTATGCAAGCCTGGGAGGACGTCCTGCTCCTCTTTCTCCTGTTGGATAATGTCCTGGGCCTGGGCCTTAGGTTGCCCGAGCATTTCCCTCACCTGAACAGATACCCCAGATTGCAGGTAATGAAACGGCTTCTTCCCACAATTGTCTCTGATATTTGCATTCGCTCCATATTCGCACATCAGCTCAGTCAACACCGACTCCTGGTTATGCAAAGCAGCAATGTGCAAAGGAGTGTACCCTCCATAGGCTCTGGCGTTGACGTCCAGGTCCAATCCACCCTTTCGGGATGTGTTGATGA